AAGTCGACGTTCATGAAGATTTTGAGTGGGTGCTTTCCCGTGAAGAGTAATATTACGGTGGAAGGGGGAATGACTTTCAACGGTGTTCCTCAAGATGAAATCCGCGCAACGCTGCCACAACTTGTGTCGTACGTGGATCAGCAGGACAAACACTACCCAACATTGACGGTACAGGAAACACTCGAGTTTGCGCACGACTGCCATGGTGGAGAACTGTCCAAGCGGGAACAGCAACATGGTACTATTGATACAGCCCAAGCCATTCGTCAACTTGGTCTTGATAGTTGCCAGAACACAGTATTGGGTGATGCTATGCTACGTGGTGTATCGGGTGGCGAGCGCAAGCGTGTAACAATGGGAGAGATGGCATTTGGTAACGAACCCGTCGTAATGCTGGACGAGATCAGCACGGGGTAAGACCCGAGTTGACGACGTGGGGGCATTCTATTAGCAGCGTCAGTCGCATACAGATTAGAAGCAGCGACACACAGGCCCACTATGGCGAGAAATTTGGAGTGCATCTTGTTGGGCAGTTGCAAAACTAGTTGATGGAGCTGGAGGTTGGGTTGTGGAGTGTCAGGGAGGAAGCGAGATGACAAGTGAAAGAGCGAGGAGGTTAGTCCGATCGAGCTGCGGTCTGGGCGTTGATGTTGTCAGCCATCGTGGTCATCTCTCGTCGTGGCATTGTCTCTCTTCGATCGCTGTGATTGATCGGGAAGACGATGAAAGAGAACCGTTGAGAGAATGAGTCGGGTTAACGATAAGTGATAGACTGCAGGCATCGTTGTTTAGAAAAAATATACTAGAAGTATATTCGAATGCAAGATCACGCGAATATATCTACTTTTTCAAAAGCTACTACTACTATTCCAGCAAAAGTAATCAACCATAGCACTACTACATCAGCAAAGATTTCGACTACTACCTCAAAAAAGTTTCATATCTTCAGCCACTACTACTACTACTACTAGTACTCAAACAAGGTCTACAGTACTTCGAAGTACATCGTAAGGCTCTACTCTTACCGTTGCTGCCCAACCACCTGTGCAATATGATAATCTGGTGACCGATATCATTTTAACCGATCACATCCATTGGCTTTGTATTCATTACAGCTGCCACTTCAATTTTCTACGCTACACAGTCACACGCCGGCTTACTACGTTTTTCTACTTATTTCGAACAGATTTAGCTTGATTTTACTTGTCCTTCGACTTGTCGGTGGCGTCCGACTTGGTCTCCTTCATTGCCTTCGACTCCGTCTTGCTCTCCTTCTTGACCGACTTGACGTCGGCAGCGTCCGTGGCCACAGTCGCTGACTCCTTCTGACCATTCGCAGTCGCAGATTCTTTCTCGCCACCAGTAGCACCGACACTCGCTGTGGCCGACTCATAACCAAAGTAGCCCGGGTACCCGTAGCTGGAGTAGCCGTAGCCGCCGTAACTGGGGTAGCCGTAAGAAGAAGAGTAGTCCGGGTAGTCTCCATTTCCATTGCCATACCCACCATCGTACGACGAGTAGTAGTCGGGGTAGTAGCCGTATCCGTTGCCAACACCATATGACGAGTAGTAATCCGGGTAGTAGTCGCCACCGTAACCCTTGCCAGAATTGTAGTAGTCATTGCCGTGGCCGTAGTAATCATCGCAGTCGCCTCCATAGCTCTTATAGCTGTAGCTGTAGCCGCTACCATAGCCCTTGTAGTCGTCGCCGCTACCGTATCCGTAGCCTTTGTGCTTGTAGTCGCTGTGCTTATAATCATCGTGGCCGTAGCTATCGCGGCCACAGTCATCGTGACCATAGTCATCATGACCATAGCCGTGGTGGTCGTGCCCGTGACCATAATCGTCTTTGCCGTAGCTGTAGTCCGAAGACTCGGTAGCCTTGGTGTCCTTATAATCGGTAGCCTTGGCGTCCTTACCTTCCAGGCGACGACGGTAGTAGTGCGGGTGGTCCTTCTTGTCGTGGTGGTAGTGTTTCTTGTGGTCGTGGTCGTGCTTGTGCTGGTGGTGGTCGTAGTCCTTGTACGACCCGAGTTGACGACGCGGGTTCATTCTAGTAGCAGCGTCAGTTGCATGCAGGGTTGAAGCAGCGACACACAGGCCCACTATGGCGAGAAATTTGGAGTGCATCTTGTTGGGCAGGTGCAAAAGTAGTTGATGGAGCTGCAAGTTGGTTGTCGAGTGTCAAGGGAGGAAGCGAGATGACAAGTGAGAGAGCAAGGAGGCCAGTCCGATCGAGCTGCGGTCTGGGCGTTGATGTTGCATCAGCCATCGTGGTCACCCCGCGTAGTGGCATTGTTTTCCTTCGTTCGCTGTGATTAATCGGTAAGACGATGAGAGAGAAGCGTTGAGAGACGTTACAACCAAGTGGCGGATCTCAAACTAACTGCTTGTTTGTACTCGATACCGTAAGATTCTACTTTACCAACGCTGTAACTGTTGGTTCCTACTCGACACCGTTTGATTCTACTCTACCGTTGCTGTAATTCGAGCCTTGTTGTCATCACGACTTGAGCTGATAATCTGGTGTCCCATATCACTTTAACATGGCAGATGCCATCACATCCATTTGGCTTTGTATTCCTAACACCTACCACTTTAGTTTTCTACGCTACAATGTCTTTCGCCCATAGCGTTAGACTACTACTATTTGTATACTAATCTACTTTTGCGGTACAGCGGTGTTCTGGCGGAGGCTGCTCAACACTTTGCGTTTTGACGCCTGCCGCTCATCAGAGAGCAGCAGAGAAGAGCAGCCTCGCCAGACACCGCAGTCCTGTCGCGGCCTTTTGCCCGGCACTTACGTGTTTACGTTACTTCCTGATTAGTTTCCTAAAGTTGACATTTAAGTGTATTCACATTTAAATGGCTCCTACTCTTAGAAGCGATCGACACATGGAGAACAATCCCCCCGTGACGAACCCTACGTCACCACTGCACCTCGCCCAGTGCGAAGACAGACACCACCCAGTTGTCGAA